TTGGAGGCCAAGGCAGGCGGACCACGAGGTCAGGAGATCGAGACTATCCTGGCCAACATGGTGAACCCTGTCTCTACTAAAAATACAAAAGTTAGCTGGGTGTTGAGGTGCGTGCCTATAATCCCAGCTACTCGGGAGGCTGAGGCAGGAGAATCACTTGAACCAGGGAGTCAGAGGTTGCAGTGAGCCAAGATTGTGCCACGTCACTCCAGCCTGGTGAAAGAGTGAGACTCTGTCTCAAGAAAAAAATAAAAATAAATAAATATATAAATAAAACTTTGTTATATTTGCATGCTAACAAAACAGTTGCTTTAAAATTTATAATGTCTACTGACATTTGAGGCAATCATTAACATATTTTCTTCAATTAGTTATTTAAACTTAATTGAATTGTGTGCTGGGATCTTTAAGTGAAACCTTGAATGAAGCTGGTGGATTAAACTTACTTTTTAAATGTTGCCTGCTTTTGAAATATTGCAAATTCTATCAGATTTGCAGTGGTACAATGAGCAAGCTTTTCAATTGTACCAAGTTAAACACTATACTTTTTAAATTTGCAGGTGCAATTAAGTAAAACCGTAAGTTATTCTGTCATATGACTTTGTTCTGTTTAAAAAAATTATATGTATATATTTTTAGTAAATTTAGTAGATATATTTTAGTAAATTCCACATAGTTTAATCTAGTTTTTCTCTTAATAACTACAAAGTTATCTATTTCCAATATCTCATTTGTTTAGATATTAAATTCCATATGTTTTATCTACTTTTTGTCTTAACAACTAAAAAGTTATAAGAAAACTTTACCTTAATATCTCTAAATAAATGACTGGATCTGTCAATTATAGCTAGTAGACTCATTTTGAAATTGCCATTTTTCTTTCTCTACTAAGATCATTCTTTCAGATGAAAGAATCATTTCAAATTTTGAGTCCAGAGCCTTTGGTCTTTTCACTCTCTAACAAGGATTCCTCTTTCCCACCAGTTTCCAAAAATCCTTTTCTGGATCTATATTCGATCCCAGGGCATGGTTCACATGTGAATTTCTGTAACTTTTCATGGAAAGGTGAGTTTCTATAACTTTTTTCATTGATTTATACATCAAAATGTGTAGTCTTAATCTAATGATTTAGATCCAATGATTTTGATTAAGATTACATATTTAGGTGTATATTAATGTTACTGCCTAGCAACTTTATCACTATTGCTTGGAAAACTGCCACACCCTTGAAAATTTAACCCAAACTTCTCTTTCTGGGTAAAGAACCATGAAGACTCACATTTTAATTTGTCATTAAATAGTTCCAATATCTCTTATTCTAAGGCATATTGCCACCATGAATCTAATATTCATTTACTACCTTGTCCCAAGTTCCAGAATAAAAATGCTATCTCTTAGGAGTATAAAATTCTTATCTCAATTATGTTGATGTTTGTGTTTTACTTAATATAAGATTCAAGAACAATCCTCAAAGCTTTTAAAAACCGATCCTTCAGTCTGACTTCAAATAAAAGGCAAGGTAAAAGCAGTTTGTAAACTGCGAAATCCTATCAATTTGTACAACTTCTTTAATGAAAAAATTATCCGGCTCTATTAAAATTTGGCATTAATGATTCTAGCTTAACATGTTAATAAAATTTAGAACATTTTCTGTGCTTTGCTAATCTTAAATCAGAAGATTTAACTGCTGATTAAAGGTTCAGTTACAGGTTTAAAAACTCAAATATTAGAAAACATCAAGGAGTTAATTTAGACACGATGAAACATTTGTAAACTTCAAAGCTTCAACTTTTAGAGAAAGGCGAGGTACCTAGACAAAAAATACCCTATTTCCACATTTCCAAACTATGAGTATTCCTGGCTCTTCCCTGAGAAAAATCTTGGACTACTTCAGTGATTAAAAACATAATAAAATTCAAAGATACAAAATGGAACTAAACGTCCTGGCCTAACTAGAAATCCCTGGTGGTTACTGTGAAGTAAGACTTGTTAAGACTTCCACAGCAAGATTAAGAAGAAAACAAGCAAGACAACACTGGGTATCTTGATGGGACTGAAATACAGGAGTGACGACTGGGAAGCTATCTCCTTGGTTCTTTCCCAGGCAAAGACCAACCTGAACAAGGGTCCCCAGTTTCTCCATACCTCTCCACTAAGTCTCACCTGTGAACAGATCCTTGCGCCTTTAATACCTGTCTTCACACCACCATAGCCGGCTGTGACCTGTCCCGAGAGTACCAACAAATGGAAAGCCACAGGGAATTCGCCAGGTAAAAACAAACTTGGAAGAGAAACAGTCTCGGGTGAAGTCCTAAGGCCGCATGAGAAACTCAAGCTGTGATTGGAAAAATCTTGCCCTTCCTCTTTGCCACAAAACGGAATTGCCTGCCTTCTTCCATTCCTGCACCCAACACATTTGCCCAGACCCTTCCGAACCAAAGAAGCCTCCGACAAAGGCAGACTATAGGAACCATCAAATTCTCGGTGAAACCCGACCGCTGAGTACAGCCTCCCAGAAGAAAAGATCAAATGAGACCAGCTCAGTGGGGTCTTCCCGTAGTGACCCCTGAGTTAACATATTTATTTTCACGCTGCAACTGCTGATCACTTTACAGAGACATATCATGCTGTCGCTCTGCATGGAGCTGAAGACAAAAGTAACATTTTTATTGTTATAATTATTATAATTATTTTTAACAAAGCTATTAAATAACCTATCCAAAGCTCAAACCGGTGCTAGCGAAAACCCGAGCATTATTTCCAATCTCCCAAGTTCCTTCCGCTTCAATTCAGCAGCGTTTCCTATATACAAGGCCAGCCCAGGGTGGTCCCCCAAAACTGTAGGTCTCCTAGACGGTGGGAACGGTTTAGAGTTTGGAACCGCCCTGGCCTAGGGCAGAGCTCCCAATCATGACCCAAATGCCCCAAGTCCCAACCCTACTTCCCGGCTCCTGGGAACTGGGTCCCTGTGTCCGAGGGCAGGGGAAGCTGAGGGCCTGGCTCCATTCTGCGCGACAAGCAACGGAGAGAGTCCGTCTAGTGAGTCTCCCCTCCGCCAGCTGCCCACAGGTTCCCAGATCTCCCGCAGAGGTACTGGGAAGGGGGTCCACCTCTGGGAGGGTTCACAGGTCCCGCGGGTCCTCCCGCTTAACCCCGGCCTCAGCAACTTTGAGCTTCTTATTCTGGTGAGTTTTGACGTGCTTGGCTAGATGGTCGCTGCGCATGAATCGTTTGCCGCACTCGGGGCAGGCAAAGCGCTTCTCGCCCGTGTGAGTCCGCAGGTGCCGCTGCAGCTCGTCCGAGCGCGTGAAGCTCTTCCCGCAGAAGAGCCAGTTGCACACGAAGGGCCGCTCGCCCGTGTGCCAGCGCAGGTGCGCCTTCAGGTGCGACGTCTTCCCGTACACCTTGCCGCAGCCCGGCACGTGGCATACGTGCTGCTTCTTCTTGCCCGGCTCCGCCTCAGGGGCGCCGCCCGCCGCCTGGCAGTTGGGGCAGCGGCAGCGGCGGCACCTCCTGGCCGTGGCCGCCAGGGGGGCCTTGGTCTGCAGCAGCGCGGCGATCTGGCTCTGGTACTGCGCAAAGTCCGACGGGCCTAACACCAGGCCTCTTTGCAGGGCGGCGGCGGCCGCAGCAGCAGCGGCCGCAGAGGTGGGGAAACGGGGCGCGTGGGGGGCCCCGGCACAGGTGCCGGAAAGGCCGCTTCCCGGAACTCCGGAGGCCCCCGGCCCGGCGCCTGCCTGCGGGATGCTCCACCACGGGAGGTCGTCGGGGGCCGGATTGGGTGACAACTGGCGGCAGGTGGGCGGCGGGGGCGGCGGCGGCGGCGGGGGCAGCAGGTTGGAGTAGCCGGGCGGCAGCGCGGCCTGCGCCGCGTAGGGCACGTAGGCGGGCGCGCAGCTGGCTGGCAGAGCCGCCATGCTCGAGGGCAGCATCTTGACCGGCGAGAACTCGTAGGGGTAGGAGGGGTCGGCGGGGGGTGTGAGCGGAAGCTCATGCGCAGCCCCGAAGGACGGCTGCAGGTGCGTCTTCTGCGGCGTCAGCCCCAGGCTGGGGTGCGGGGGCGGTAGCGCGCCCGGCGAGTGCGCCGGCATGTCCGCGGTCCACGGGTGGAAGAGCCGGGAGGGGGAGCCCAGCGCGGAGTCGTAGGGCACTTGCAGGAAGTCCGGGGGCGCCGCCGCACCCGGCTGGCCGATGCGACTACAGGTGGCGGCCAGCAGTGCCAGGGGCGAGTGCTTGCCCAGGTCCGGGGAGGCGCTGGGGGTGCGGTCCTGCATACGCAGAGAGGGAGGGCAGAGAAGAGACAAAAGGTTAGCTCCAAGCGCCGACTCCCAGCCTGCCCGCCCGCTATTATACTACTATCCCTCCTCCGCCGCGGCCGTCCCTCCCCGCCACCGCACCCCACGCACGCACCCACCGGCCGCAGGAAACTTTTGGAGCCTGCGCTACCTGAACGTGGGGCACGCGAGCGCTTCTTGCTAAACTACTTGGTGCACTGAGACGCCATCTAGCCTTAGAGGAAGCAGGCGCAAAGTGGGAGGGGGAGGCATCCGACAGGCCACTCCGGGCTACGCGGTCAGTTAGAGTCGGGAAACACCCACAACCCGGCAGCCCAGCCGCCCTCCCTCCCATCTTTTAAGCTGTCCTGTCCTCGCGCTCCTCCCCCGCCCGCCCCAGGATGAAATCAGCAGGAGGGCCCAGCAGGGTGAGCTCTAGTAGTGTTCTCAGCCAGCCAGGCACCTCCTAACAATCCCGGATCCATGCGTCCCTCCTGCAAAGGCCACACTCTTGACACCAGATTAGGTGTGAAGTTGGCGTGGGCACCCCTAGGCCTGGCTCCAGCTGCACCCACCGGCGGGGTTCCCTTGGAGATTCAAGCTGCACGGAGTACCGGGGGAGAACCGGACAGGGCCCTTTCCACCTTTCTCCCGCCCCCTCCGGGCCCAGCCCTAACCTGGAGAAAGGCCTGCAGCGAGTCGTTCCGGAGGACGGCCACCGCGGCCATGGCTACAACTTCCAGGCCGCTGGCTGTGGAGCGAGGCGCCGCCGCGGAGGCATGGACACCCGAAGGCGAGGACGAACGGCCGCCCAGTCTGCCTCCCCAGAGCCCGCTCTGCGCGCTGGGGCCCTCCCCGCCCTCGCCTCTCGCAGCGCCCCGCTCGCTCGCCCCGCGCTCGGTCTGAGCGCTTCAGGATCACCTCCAAGAATTTGATAAGGACTTTGCTGGGCCGCCAGCCAGTCAGAGGGAAGATTTATGGCTTTGAAGTTTGCCGCTACCCAATCATCAAAGAATAGCGGCTCTTTCAGAAGCGAAAGCAAATCCTTTGAATCCACAAAGCTCCTATGGTGTGTTTGTTGGTCTGGATAAAAGAACTGATTATTAGGGGGGATGGGCAGGGAGGAGATAAAGGCGGGACAATTAATGAAGTAATCACTATGTGGGAAATGTATATACACAAATAATTGGATTTTCCTGATCAAAGGGGGCCTTGCCGCCTGGAGACCCGCGCTTGGGTTGCTCGAGACACTCTTCCCGCCCCCCCCGCAACACACACACTTGGAATTTAAAGATTTGCACCAAGGCAGCGCCCAAAGTGACAAAGTGTCCTTGTTATCTCTAGAAAAATCTGCCTTCGGCTTCCAGGCGCGGGACTTTGGGACGGGAAGGAGTGTAACTCTCCCCTGTATTTGTACACCCTGCACCCTCGCCGCACACGCACCCGTCGGGGCACACAGCGGACCCAAGCGAGTTCTCCGGTGAGGCGTGGGACCGATCGCGCCCGGCCTGCCGCGTGTCCCCCCGCGCGCCGCTGTGGGGCCGGGGCAGGGCTGTGACCCGGGGCGGGGCCGGGCGGCCGCCCAGCGCGGCGTTGGGTGACGCGCACGCTCCAGGGCCGCCCGCCTGACGAGCGACCGGGGCTCTCGTGTGACGTTCCTGCTGGCGACCGGGAAGTTTTCCACAGGCCACAACTTTTGCAAAGAGGGGACCTGGGAAAAACACCCGCGCCGCTTATACCCTCAAAGCTGAACTTGGCAGGACACTCAAGGCGACCTGTCAAGCCCACCCGAGGGGAAGAAGCTGTGCTGTCCCGCCCTTTTCTCCTCAGGCCACCCTGGTCGCCAAGGAGTCCCGGGCCGGGCCGGGGGTGCCGAAAGCCCCAGCGCTGCTGGTGATTTATCGCTCCGGGCTCTGCCAAGCCGGCGCGGGCTCTCGCAAGCCTGACAGACCAGGAACTACTTGAAAAAAGTAAGGCACGGTCGAGGAAGCCTGGTTTTTGTGGTTCCACAAACCACAAATCAAACGAGAGAGGCCCCCGAAGCGGGAAGAAAAGTCAGTACAAACTTGTTCCTGTCACCTTTGGAAAGAAAAAGTTCCTCACCAGGCGCGGGGCGTACTTTGTCCTGGGCAGGGACGCGCTTGCCGGGGATTGGGTGACCCCCATCCCTCCTTGGCCGCTCACCTCCTGCGGAGGAAGGTCTGTCAGCCGCCTGCCTCCTCCTGGCTCAGGGCACAGGACTTATCCTGCCCCGGCGCTGCGGACCCCAGGATTGCCTCCCACGAGCGCGCGGGCGGGGAAGAGGAAGAGGCAGACTGGGCGCCGCGGGGTCCTCACCGCCCTGGGGCATTAGGAGCGCTGAACCGCGATGGAGGCCTCGAGGCCCGGGCTTGCGAGACCGCACTGCTGAGTGGCCGCCGGAGCTCGGCCTACTGCTCTCCCTCACCAGCCTCCTGGTGGACACGGTCTCCACTCTCCAGCCCGCCAGCCGTGGGGGAGTCCCGAACCAGCTCGCACCCAGCCTCTTTGCCCGTCTTCCTCGCGGGAGCCGCACGGCGACGAAGACTGACGGAAGAGGACGGACAGGGTGACCCATCTCCCGATGCGGCGCCAGAGGTTAGCCTAACTCCAACGGACTCAGAGTCTGGGCTGTATAAGGATGCCCTCCGCACTTCCATCAGGGGTCGGGACGAGATGTCTCCAGACCCACCTTCTCTCACGCCCAGGGCGCTCCTGCAGAATGGGAACATCGTACTGAAGACCGGTGGGCTGCATGCGACCCAAATACAATGGGTCCCTTGCTCGACCCGCTCTCGCACGCCCCCTTTTCCCCCAACGAGTTGTCCCCTCTAGAATGTGATCGGTGACCACAGTTTGGCCAACCCGATCTGGCTTCTGAAGATGAGGTCGGCTATTCTGGGAGCTGAGAAGGGCAGAGAGCTTAGTGGTTTCATCCGAGATCTGGCAGATCTGCTCCTTCCCACGCTTCCGTCCAGGGGTCGAGTCCTAGAGAAGGGTGGGCCTCGAGGGAGCCCTTTCCCGGATGCAAGTCGAAGCCTAGCTGCTTGGCACACACTCGGGCTGGCACATGCCCGCACCCTCGAAGCGATCTGGTATCTTAGCGCTTGTTTCCTCTCCTGCTCCTTTGAGCTCTTCGAAGCCGCGTTTCCCAGGGAGGCGGACAGGGCCGGGCTAAGCAGGACAGAAGGCAGCGCTTTTTGTTGAATCTCATAGCTACTTTACCAAAAAGGCCAGAAGAGCCATTTTACATCTCCGTAGTCACAGGAATTAGCTTTTTTCTCTAAGATGCCCCCATTAGCCAATTAAACCACCATTGGTGGGCAGTAGGGTGAAAGATAGTGGCTTGGTGGTTAAGAGCTCGGAGTCTGAGCTCTCTGAAGACAGATTTTTCCCGCCCTGCCACTTTCTAGTTGGTGACCTTGGCGAGCAAGGTACTCAGCCTCTGTGTACCTCAGTTTGTTATTTGTAAAATGGGACTTACAATAGTGCCCCTAGTAGAGTGGCTGAAGGTTTAAGAGTTAATATATGCAAAGTCTTTAGGACTGTGCTGAGCGTACAGTAGGACCTCTCGAGTGGTCGCAGTCGGCTGCTCTAGGACTCATCTCCGTTTGTGAAAACCCGCCCAGATTCCGGTCCTCCCAGGCCGCAACTGAAGTTTAGAGACTTTGCCGAATAGCTGTTTAGTCTCCCCCAACCCCCTGGCCCTCGGAGCTCCTGAAAAAAAGTTCTTAATGAAGTAATGTTGAGAGCGTCCATTAAAAATGCAGTGCTGGGAGATCAAAGTACAATATTTATTTTAGAAATTTGTTGCAATCACCAAGAGATACAGGTATCAAGGCCAAATGTCAGTTCCATTACACAAAGCCCCGTGCCCGGGAAGAGCGTGTGGCTGCTCTGCCATAATGTAAAGAGACATCAAAGACCGAGCGCGCTGCAAAAGTGCGCAGCCGGGAGGGAGGGAGCAAGCCCGGGAGGGCCAGGCGCGCCCCAGACAGCGCGGGGGCTGCGAGGGCGGGGGTCAGTTCAAAGAGGTATCCGCTGGGGCGCGAGTTCACAGGAGGGAAGATTTAATGGGCTTTCTTTTGTTGGTGGGTGTGTTTGCGCACGGTGGACCCAGGAACTCCTCTGCGGTCCTCCTGCCTCGGGGCGGAGATGGGGGTGGGGTGGGAGCTGCGAATGTGGAGCAAACTTTAACCGTGGCGGGGGGCGGGGAGGTTGAATTCCAGTCTCCTGGAGGCGGCTGGCACCGCGGAGCTGCTCTCCAAGCAGTGCGGTTCTGAGGCTGGGAAGTTTGCATTGCAGTTTCTTTGCGGGCGGGCGGCAAGCGCCGACTGCAAGCCACCTGCGAGAGGAAGAGACGGGTGGGTGAACCCGCAGCGACACGCGTAGGGGACGGACCAGTTCTGAGTGCTCTGGGATTAACTCTGGGGTTGCCACTTGGAGCGCAAGCTTAGTACCTCGCCTCGGGCATTTTCTCGAAGCAAGCAGGGATGCATGCCTCTAGCATAAATCCAATCAGATAGTCACCCCTCTCCAGTTGATTTTCTAAAAATCTAGATATTATTTAGATAATTTTAACACATTCTTAATTCTTTGGCCTTTCACAGTAAGGCATTGCTTAACCAGCTGGATCTCGCTCCTCTTTGCCAAGGAGGATCAACTTTGCAATTGCCCGCATCTGTCTAGTTAAATCCTTGCTATACTAAAGGTTCTGGGAGGATGGGGTCAGAATTTTCCCTGTGCTAATGCGGCACTGAATCGCAGGAGGCTGCCCATGCATTTCTTCAGTCATCTACAACCAAGAATTCTCAGAGCAGTCACTCAGCAGCCTTTTGAAGTTGTGCTAGAGCGGAAAGCTGCTATTGTTCTCATCTCTCAACAAGGAAAGGATCAAACTTTGCCTCTTCAATCTGAAAGATTTTTTTTTTTTTATGGTGGTCGGGGGAAGGATTGCAATCTGATACTCTAAGTTAACTTTGAGGATTTGGAGTGGTCTCCCAGATTAAGCTGCAGATCAAATCACAGATGCCCTAATGCCAGCATCTCAAGTCGGGACACTTCATCATTAATACGGTGGAGTAGTCAGTCACAAGCAATCATAATGCTGGTAACCTAGCCTGGTGACCGAGCTAGTTTACTTTCCACGGAAATGCGGCCATTTCCTCAACTGGAATCCTTGAATTAATTTTAAGTTTAAACTTCCAAATTGGATCAGTATACAATACTGGTTGTAGAACTAGGAGGAATTTTTAAAAATCTCATCCAATTCTACTCCCTCACTTGATGGCAGGAGGAAACAGCATTTACATGATACATGTCCTGCCTGCCCAGTGCTGTGAACTTCAGTAGGTGCTCAATAAATGCTCACCGATGTTGGATGGTAGAGTGGAATTGTGTGCACCAATATCATCTGCGTAATGACTGGTGCCACAGAGCACACACATGTAGGAGGAAGTCAGAGAGGATTGGTGAGCCCATCATCAGGGAGCTGGGGTTTGAAGGAGACTTTAAGAACCCATGGAATTTTAACTAAATTTTAATTTTATTGCAAAGAAAGGAAGAGGGTGAAGGGGAAAGGGATGACAGAAGAAAGAGAATTCTCCTTCAGTGAGAAGTTGAATACGAGGAAGTTTTGGGCCTTTGATTTGTTGGTGTGGACATGGTGAAGTCAGAACAAGGAGTGTGCCCCTGTGCTGTATACATTATTGTAGGAACTCCTGAGCAGGTAAATAATGTGAGTTCAATTCCATTTCCAAAAGCTTCTTTCCTAGGAGGGTTGGCTTGCAGAGAGTCTGGAAGGATAGATGCAAATGCAGTTTTCTAGGTGTGAGATGGTGAAAGTTTTGACTGGGAACAGGTGGTAGTAGTGAAAGGATGACTCACCATTTTAAAGGGGAAAAAGAGCAAAATTTGGTGACAGGTTGGAATGAGACATTAAATAGAGGGGAAACTCAGAAGAACTTTTGAGCAAATGGTGCTGGGACAACTGCATATCTACACGTAAAACAATGACGCTGGACCGTTTCCTTGCAACACGCACAGAAATTCACTCTAATCATAGACTTAAATGTAAGAGTTAAACTCTAAAGCTCTTAGAAGAAACAAAGGAGTAAATCTTCATGACCTTGGTTAGGCAAAATCTTCTTAGATATGATGCCAAAAGCACAAATGACAAAAGAAAAAATAGTAGATTGAACTTCACCAAATTTAAAACTTTTGTGCTTTAATGAACACCATCAAGAAAGTGAAAAGACAACCCACAGAATTGGAGAAATCATTTGCAAATGAGACATCTAATAAGGGAACCCATGCAACTCAACAATAAAAAGACAACCCAATTTAAAACCGGATAAAGGATTTGAATAAACATTTCCCCAAGGAAGATATACAAATGGCCAATAAACACATGAAAAGAAACCTAGCATCGTTAGCCATCACTGAAATGCAAATTAAAACCACAATGAGAGAAACTGCTTCACACCTACTAGGATGACTAGATTACAGAAAAGATAAAGTGTTGGTAAGGATGTGGAGAATTGGAATCTTCATACATTGCTAGTAGGAATGTAAAATGGTACAGAAAACAATTGAAAAACAATGTGGCAATTCCTCAAAATGTTAAACATGGAATTATAATTCTACTGCTCGGTAGATACAAAGAGAATGGAAAATATACATCCACACAAAGACTTGTACATGAATGTTCATAGCAGCATTATTCTTAATAGCCAAAAGCTGGAAACAATCTAAATGTCCATTCCCTGATAAGTGGATAATAAGTGACACATCTATGTAAAGGAATATCATTCAGTTATAAAAAGGGATGAAGTACTGATACATGTTACAATATGGATGAACCTTGAAAACATGCTAAATAAAGGAAGCCAGTCACAAAAGTCACATATTGTATGTTTCCATGTATATGAAATGCCTAGAATGGAAAAATCCACAGACAGAAAGCACGTTAGTGGCTGCCAGGGACTTAGGGGCAGGGAAAGAGGGAATGACTGCCAATGGGTAAGGCTTTTTGGTGGGGGTAAAAATGTCCTCAAATCGATTGTGGTGATGGTTGCCCAACTCTGTGACTACACTAAAAAAATTGAAGGGTACTGTTTAAATGGATGAATTATATGATATGATATGTAATTATATCTCAATAAAGCTGTTTAAAAACAAATCAAGGGGGGCTAGGGAAGGGGTAGTGGGAGGGAGGGTGGGGAGGGATAATGTGGGGAGAAATGTCAGGTATAGGTGATGGGGGGATGGTGGCAGCAAACCACCTTGCTATGAATGTACCTATGCAACAATCTTGCATGATCGGCACATGTACCCCAGAATGTGAAGTACAATTAAAACAACAACAACAGGCCGGGCGCGGTGGCTCAAGCCTGTAATCCCAGCACTTTGGGAGGCCGAGGCGGGTGGATCACGAGGTCAAGAGATCGAGACCATCCTGGTCAATATGGTGAAACCCCGTCTCTACTAAAAATACAAAAAAAAATTGGCTGGGCATGGTGGCGCGTGCCTGTAATCCCAGCTACCCAGGAGGCTGAGGCAGGAGAATTGCCTGAACCCAGGAGACGGAGGTTGCGGTGAGCCGAGATCGCGCCATTGCACTCCAGCCTGGGTAACAAGAGCGAAAACTCCGTCTCAAAAAAAAAAAAAAAAAAAAAAAAAAAAAAAAAAAAAAAAAAAAAA